TGCCAATGTCCCTGTGGAGTATGCAGTTCTCCTATGTACCAGTCCTGTGATCAACACATTCTGGGACACGATTATTTTTGTAAATAGCATTTATTTAATCTCCCAATAATATGCCTTGAAATCAAGACACAGACACTGACTCCATAAAGAAATAATATTTTAGCATAAACATTTCCTGATGAACACTTGGTGATTATTAATGAACACACATTAACAAATATTGCAGAGGTCCAAGTTAATGAGATCCAACTGTATTTATTTGAACTCCCCTTTCATTCGTTTTTGAAAACAAAACATTTGATCATTTCTAATTTCCAATCTGCCTGATTCCTGTTTCAGTCTGTGTGATTTCTAATATCAGAACTGATTCTTCCGTTTCATCTTTAAGCTGATTCTGCACAAAAGACCAAAAGCTTAAACTTTTGAAATAACGGGACTCTCTCATTGTCCTTTCTCCTGTATAGGCTCCCAATTCCTCTTAACTAATTTTTCCACACTTCCTGTTCCTTAAGATTATGGAAGAAGTATAATTTAGGAGGCATGGTTCTGTGTGTTTCAGTCTCTTTCATTAATGCCTGTCATCATCCCTAAGACTGCTCCCCTGCCTTCCTCATTAATCACCACCCACTGACACCACATTCTTAAAGCATATCCACTCACTCTTGGCTCATGGACTGCTTTGCAGACTTGGAGGCAGGAAGATGCATAAGTTCTACCTGCAAATCTACAATCCCGCTTTCATCTGTCATCATCTCCTACTCGCCTCCTGTTATGCTCAGAGGGCATAGCCCTCTGAGGAGGTTCTGGATCTCACTACCTTCCTCCTTGTAAGGGCTTGATTGAATGAATTCTCTCCTCTGACTTCTGAATACTAAACCTCTCTCTTCCGGAGCCTCCTAATTCCTGTTTAAACATGCTTATCTTTTAAATTTCCTCCGTCTCAAATTCCCTTCCAGCTACAGCTCCATCTCTCTCCTCGCTTTACAGCCAGACTTCATCGAGAGCTCATTGTTTCCACATCCTCACCTCCCACTTCCCTCTCAAACGACTTCAATTCAGATTTCTCAGACATCATCTCTCTCCCTGATTTTTGCATTGGCTCCCTATCTGATTTTCCTATACCCTCCCATACCCCTCCAATCAATTTCCTGTAGCCTGAGTATACTTTTAAAAATTCAAATCTAATCGGTGTACTCCCCAGGTGAAAACCCTTCGATGTCTACCCATTGATATTCAGGAAAGTCGAAGGGCATAAAGGTGGCCTGCATCATCTGGCCCCTGCCCACCTATCTAACCATCCTTTGTCTCTCTCCTTCCTGCACTCTACTTCCACCACACCAACGTTACCTTTATTTCCTTTAATGTTTTATTCTTGTCTCAAGCTCAGGTCCTTTGTCCTTACTGTCTGCTCAGCCCTGAGGTTAGTTACAGAACTCCTGATCCTCATGTCTTAGCCCTATTGGGTCCCTGTATTATTTACTCACATAGCACACGTCCCCCATCATAACATTTTTTGTTGCTGCCCACTTCTTCCTTTTATTTTAACAGGCTTATTGAGATATAATTTACACACCATAGAGTTTACCCATTTAAGGTGTAGAGTTGAATGGTTTTCAATACAGTCACAGAGGTGTGCAACCATCACCACAGTCATAATTGCAGGGTGTTTTTCATCACCACAAAAAGAAACCTCATGCCCATTAGCAGTCACTTCCTGTTTTTGCCTGACCCTTCTAGTCCTAGGCAACCTCGATTCTATTTTCTGAATCTATAGGTTTGCCTAATCTAGACATTGTATATAATTGGAATAATGTAATGTGTGGTCTTTTGTGACTGACTTCTTTCACTTAGCATAATATTTTCACCATTCATCCCTGTGATAGCATATATCAAGACGCCATTCCTTTTTAGTGCCAAATAATATTTTGTTGACATACCATATTTTATTCATCCATTCATAACTTAATGAACATTTAGGTAGTTTCTACTTTTAGGCTATTGTGGATAATCCTGCTATGAAAGTTTGTGTGCAAGTCTTTGCACAGATGTATGGTTTCATTTGGCCTGGATGTTTCGCTAAGAGTGGAATTGCTGGGTCATATGTTAACTATATGTGTAACATTTTGAGGAAATGTCAAACTGTTTTCCAAAGCAGCTGTACCATTTTACATCCCTACCAGCAGTGAATGGGAGTTCCAGTTTCTCCACATCCTCTCCAACACTTGTTATTGCCTGGCATTTTTATTATAGCCATCCTAGAGTGTGTGAAGTGATACCATATTTGGTTTTGATCCCTGATGGCTTGTGATGGCTTGTGTATCTTATTGGTGCTTATTGGCCATTTGTGTATCTTCTTTGAAGAAATGTCTTTTTAAATCATTTGTCCACTTTTACATTAGTTACATTTTTGTTACTGAATTGTAAGGTATATAGATATAGATGTATATATTCTAGTACAAGTCCCTTAATCATGTATATTATTCATGTATATTAATCATGTATATTAATCATGTATATAATTTAGGAGAGGAATGGAAAACTTTTCTCCCATACTTCAGGTTGTCTTTTAAGTTTCTTGATGACATCATGAAACTCAAATTTCATGAGTTTTTCATTTTGATGAAGTCCAAATTATCTATTTTTTCTTTTGTCACTTACACTTTTGGTGTTATATCTAAGAAATCGATGCCTAACCCAAGATCATGAATATTTACTTCTATGTTTTTCCCCTAAAGTTTTTATAATTTAGCTCTAACACTAGATTTGATCCATTTTGAGGTAATTTTTGTATATGGTGTGATGTAGGGGTCCAAGATTTTTCTTTTGCACGTGTGGATCCAGGTTTCCCAGCACCACTTCTGTTGAAAAGACTATTCTTTGACCATTTTATTCTCTTGTCACCCTTTCCAAAAATCAATTTATCGTAATATAAAGATTTATTTCTGAACCTTAAATTCTATTCCATTTATCTATATGTCTTTCCTTATGCCAGTAACACACTGTGTTGATTACCATATTTTTGTATAAGTTTTGAAATCAGGAACTGTGAGTCCTCCAAATTGGTTTTCTTTTCCAAGGTTTTTTTGGTGATTCTGTGTTCCTTGAATTTGCATATGAATTTTAGGATCAGCTTGACAAAGTCAGGAGAAAAAGAAAGACAGCTGGGATTTTAATAGCAATTACATAAATATGTGGATCAATTTGGGGAGTATTTCCATATTCACAATACACAATATACAGTTTTCTGATTCACGGGCATGAGAATGTCTCTCCACTTTTTTTTTTTTTAGATCTTCTTTAACTTCTTTCAAAAATATTTTGCTGTTTATAATGTAGAAGTCCTACATTTCCTTTGTTAACTTTATTCCTAAGTATTGTATTGTTTTTTGATGCTATCATAAATAATTTTATTTTCAGATTGCTCATTGCTAATGTATAAAAATAAGATTGATTTTTGTATATTGATCTTATATTCTGTCACCTTGCTGAAGTCATTTCTTAGTTCTAATAGTTTTTTTAGGGAATTCCTTAGGATTTTATATACAAAATTACATCTGCAAACGGAGATAGTTTTACTTCTTCCATCCCAGTGTGGATGGCTTTTTTTTATTTTTCTTGTCTAATGTCCTGGCTAGAACTTCTAGAGTGCTGAATAGAGGCGCAGACAGCAGGCACTCTTTTGTTTCTGATCTTGGGAGAGAATGCCCAGTCTTTTACCAATCAGCATGATGTTTAGCTCTGGGGGTTTTGTAGATATCATTGGTCAAGTCGAGGAATTTCCCTCTATTTGTAGTTAGCTGAGTCAACACACTTTTAATTACTGGCATGATGTCTGTATTCCCTGACACACTGTAAGCCTACATATATCTTATTTGTTGCTATCTCCTTAGCACATAGCAAAGTGCCTAGCATACAGAAAACATTCAGTAATGATTTCCCAAATGACTGAATGGAATTGTCCTTTCATATTTGTGTCTTCCTTTATCTTGTCCTCATTGCAACTTTTGTAATATTGCCTTAAACCCAAGACTTCTGATATTTCAGCTATTTCTCTATTTTCTTCCCCACTGGGATTACTGGGGAGCAGATAGTTAACATTATCTTGATATAATCTCTAATACATCATGATCAATACTCTTTCATTAAGGCTATTTTCTGACCCATTGATCTTCTCACCTCTTTGAAATCAGCTTTCCTGAGTCCAGGGCACATTTCACTTCTGCCCAATATTCCCTTACTTTGCTACTACAAAGTCAAAGTTGCATTCTTCCAGAATTTCCATCACCCTCAGGTTAGCAAAGAGACTTTCGTTGTTGGCCAGTATTCAATCCAGAGAAGAATTCCCTCTCCCCTCTCATTTAGTCCTCTGTGCAATGAAGCAGTCACTGAAACACATAAGGGCCTGATCAGATAAACGAAGTGAGATTCCCCCAGGGATTAGGGTTGCTGCAGCCCCTCGCCAGTCTACTTCCCTTCCAGGTCACTCCCCACAAACTGTGTACAAGCTTCTACCTGCCCTTGGACTCACCCGGCAAGCTGGGGTGTGCTCCCATTGTGAGCACACCTCTGGTTCTCTCTCTCACATCTTCAGTCCATCTGCTCTCCTCAGGCTCAGTAAATTAGGATTTAGAAATGTGCCACCAGACAACTCCTCTTCCTCCCCTCCTCGATCATATCTATTTCATTTGAACAAGCATGCACCTTCATTGCTGCATTGTGAGCAAAGTTTATGTGTAAAATTTTAAAAGATATCAAGTTCATACTTTAAAAATGCTAATACTCAGTGCACTGGTATATGTTCCTTGGACATTTGAGGCTATGTTGATCTTAATTGATTTCAAAGTCTAGAGGTTTAATACACTGCAAGTCACACCCTGCTGAGTGTTTGTGGAGCTGATGTCATCTACGTTCATGTTGATCTACTGTCAATATGGCAGTAAAGTGCCTTGTTCTAATAAAGTTAGTAGTTATAACCATTTCCCACTACACAGAAATCAAGTGTCTTGAAGAATGGGCCAGTTTCTTGTTCTCTGCATGAAGGTAAAATATGAGCAGCAGTAACCCTGGTCCTGCTGATTTACCAGCAACAGTTTCACCAGAGTGGGTCTGCTTCTATCCTAATAAATCCATCTCTCTATTATTCAGACCAAGGAAATTCTTTTTGAGAGTTGGGAGTCTGGATTGCCTCTGGTGGTGTGAAAACTCCCTACTTCTTTTGGCAAAGAGACATGTGGTGATGACCAGGCACCTTGTAAATCCATGGTGTCTAGCTTTCCAGAGTTGGCTTTCAAAGAGAAATGTATCCAACTAGGAAAATGACATGGACACTCCAAGGGCATAAACCAAGAAGGAGAAAGAGTTGGAATCCAGGAAACAGGAGATCTAACTGTTCAAGGACCAAAGCTGTGCAGCTGAACAAGAGAGCAAGAGGCCCTGTAGGAACCAGAAGGAACGACCTCTGGGAAAAAAGGAACCAGTAGTTTTATCTGATTGCTTAATCACGGGGAAAATTGTGTTCAGAAGGATTTTGAAATTCTGCTGGAGAGTTTTGGAAGAATTATTAGGATAATGACATAGACTAAGCAGATTTTTTAAATGAGGTAATTATTAATTCCTGGAAGAACAAAGAATTATAGAAGAAAGAAAATGTGATCCTAGAGTATTTCTTCACTCAGCAGTGAACAGTACATTCATAACTGTAATAAAATAAAAATTGAATATTGATTTAACAAAAAAATGTGACATAAATCTATTAGAGAATACAAGAAGCAAAGATACAGGTATGAAAGTGGGCTAGGAGCACCCCAACTCCATCTTCCATCATAAGTCAATAGGCATTTAACATCGATAAGCCAATAGGGTAACTGTGTAAGCACATTATTTAGAAATATGGAGTCAGCATCAGAAGAAAGAGCTTGGAGAGAGGAATTTAGGAGAGGAATGGAATAGGAGACTGCTGGTTTTCCTTCATGCCTTATAATACTATTTGAATTTTTAAATTCTGTATAATTAGGCTGGATTTTTATGAAAAATAAATCAGCAAACTGGAAAATAGCCTGAGACTCAAGGGAAGAGGAGGGAGACAGAGAAGAGTTGAGGCTTCTTTACCATGGGAGCAGGCAAGTTGGCTGACTATAGTTGTAGAAAAAAATCTCTATCCAAGAATGTCGCTTTAATCCAAGAGGCATGCACACGAGAAGAGCCACTCTTCCACAGGAGTCCACAGCCAGCAGAGCGGAGCTCAGCTGGAACAGAGAACAAAGCTGTTGTGGTTATAGCTGCCTCTGGTCAGGGTCCTTGCAACCTGCCCAGGAGGGTCAGAGGAGAACCATCTGCTCCCCAACTTTTCTTCCACTTTGCTGTGGCACCTCAGGTGCTAAATGGGCTGCAGTTTGCACTCAGGGCAGAATATGTGTATAGGGTGCTTCCAAGGAATTGTGAAGAATGAGATGGAGATATTTCATCCATTGGGGAGCCATGGGCATGATGGAACTGGTGCAGGCTTGCCAGCAGGTGGTACATGTGCCCCCTCTGCTGTCTGGTGGTCCCAAACAGTATCTGCAGGAATGGGGCTGGGCCTCTGTGGTTACTTAAAGGAATGAAAGCTTCTTTATTCTCCTGGGGCTTTCTGTGTTTGAGCATCTCTCTCTTTCTCCAGGACCAGCTCCAGTGATCATGCAAGAATCTGTTTTCATTCCAACAGACTGTGCTGCCTTCTGTGTGTGTGAAGCAAATGACACCTGCCCTGCTGGAAATGTAGTCAAAGTTGACTTCAAGGAACCTGGGACAGGTCCTCAGCTGGGTCAGGCGCTGGTAACCCCAAGGTCACAGAGAAGGCCATCTGAGCACAAGACACCGGCCTGGAATCACCTGGAAAATAAAGCAGGAGATGTTCCACTGCAGGAAAGAAGGGGAGAAGCTACATCTCGCTCCCCTCCCACCAGTCCAGCTCATTTCTTGGAAAAGCCAGAATGAGCCAGTCTGCCCACCCACAAGTTTCTCCAGGTGACACGGGAGTGGTCCACTGGGTGTTTGCAGAATAATCATACTCTTCAGTGTCTGAATCCTGATTATTGTTTCACAGCCAAATAGCAAAATAAAACATGATTTCCATTTATGGTCTTGGACTCTGTGACAAGTAGGATCTAAGTTCAGGATGAAAAATACATTTAGGGAAGGGAGAATCCAGCCAACAAGGCGGTCACCTCCCTCCCTCTTTATCCATCAAGCGGTCATTATGTCTCGCCAAAAGATCATGGCCAACTAGAGTACAGAAGAGGTTCCAGAAAATGCCCAGGCCAGACCCCACTCAAGAGAATCTGTGGTTTGGGAGCTCATTCCTGGAGGCATCTCCCCAGTGGGCAAATCCTCACAGTTCTGTGTGTCAGGAGGACAGCCGGGTGGGGATCTTCCTCAGTGTGACTTTTCTGACCAGACACCTTCAGATGGCAGGTGGTATGAACAGGGGGAGCCATTATGCAAACTCCCGTGCTCAGCAAGGTCAGCATTCACAAGTGGACACTTCATGGTACAAGTACAAACACACAGCCAACTAGCCTGCATCCCACAGGGACTGCTGCTAAGTGTTCACAATCATTTCAGTGGTATAGCAGCGTCAGATACAGCAAAGCTTGCGCCAGGTCATTTTGCCCCCTGGCCCTGTGCTTGGTTAACCAGGATAGATGGCCGTGGCTATCAGCACTGACTTTGGAGGAGGACAGAGCGAATGCCTGAAGACTTGGAGTCCTGAGCTATCAGATTGCCCTGTTACACAAGCTGTTCAGCACACAAAATACCAGTACCGATAGGTCAACATAGACTCTGCTAAAAAAGGGAAAGCCCAGAAGAACAAATGAACCATTTCTGGCAGGACTCAGAGATGACCTTCACATGATGTCTGGGTAGAAAATCCAACACACCTGCACACTTTGCTGCCCCAACCGCACATCACCCCAGGCTCCTTTTGGGCCTGCTTGGGCCCTGGGAGACGAGAAAGGAGGAATTTGACAGTACTAGGGTCCATGGTAAGCAGCCCAGGAAAGGCCGTGCCCCCTCTGTGCCAGCAGGATGGGTGCCCATAAGATGCAGAGTAGTGTCCTCCCTCACAGGGCTTAGCTCAGGAACAAGTTTTTTATTTTCTCTTTAAACAGGATATAAAGGGAAAGGTTACTCAATTGATTAATTGAAAAACTGACTCTCACAGTTGCATTGGGGCCAGAGGGCTCAGGGAGGCTGTGCATGGCCGTGGCAAAGGGGTCTGGCTTCTCTACGTAGGACTAGGGAGAACTTGGTCCCTATCCCCCCATAAGAGGGAAGGCCTTGATCCTCAGCCTCAGCACAAGGCAGATCAGCCAGCTTGTCCCTAGGCTGTACCTTCTCAGGGCTCCCCACATCCTTCATCCAAGGTCAAGAGAGACCTCTGAAGCAAGGCTTCGGACACGCTGCTTTTGCCAGCTTCTTACCTGTGCACCCTGGAGCAGGTTGTGTTGTCTCTGGAAAATGAGGTGGTGAGCAAGGAGCACAGTGGGTGCCAGACAGAGAGCGGTGGAAAGGCAAGGGCCCTCAAGGAACCAATGACCCCAGATTCCCCAGAGTTTCTGCAACTGCATGAGGGAAGAAAGGGTGGCCGGGCTCTCCTTGCCATTTTATAGGTGACGCCCTTGAGGCCCCGAGAAGAGGTGGCCACCCCTTTAGAAGCGGCAGGTCCTGGACAGAAACCCAAGTCCCTTAACTCAGTGACTGTGCCCTCTGCAGCAGCTGGGTGCTAGGCTGGCCCACTTCCTTGGAGCTGGGGTTACCCCCAGAGACAGTGAACATCTAAAAGTGTGTGTGTGTATGGGAAGCCCAGCCCCAGAAAGCACCTCCACATGCATACCCAGTGGCGTGGGGGTGATGGCAGTCTTGCATCTCCCTAGAACAGAAATGGGCCCCTTTGCTTGACTGGCCCAGGGGGACAGCGGCAGGGTTTGCAGTGGGAAATCATAGGGGGTTGCCATGCAGGGGCCTTCCTCCTTCCCGCCCCCTTCCCCACCCCCTTTGCTCCTCCCTGACCTAGGACAGAATCCAAGTGGCAACTCAGCTCAGTTGGGGCTTTTCCAACTTAAAAAAATGTTCAACTTATCCATGTTTTAAATTAAGAATAGAGATAATGTAACTTAACCCAAACTAAACATTTAAAACTTTCAGTTTCATATTATAACCAGTTTGGGGGCAGGGGTAGGAAAACGGGAGCGTGTAGAATAGAGGTAGAGCTTAAGTGGGGGGGAAAAACAGAGAGCATGTCAGGCAGGAAAACAGGAGCCACTCAAGGCATTTCAAGACAGAGATTTAACACAGGGATTGGGATACTTCCAAACCTGTTGGATGGGCTGGAGGAACAAAGGCCAGAGAAAGTCACCACTAACTCCTAGGTTCACCACTAGCTTTCAGCACCAACAAGCTGCTGCCGCTACCCTAGCCAGATACTACAGGGGGCTATCAGAAATGGTCATAACTGTCTGCAGCCCTAAGGCAGGTGACTTGCAGGATGAAACCTCACATCTGCTGAAGCCACATACCTGCCTGTGCGGCTGGAGGCCGAATGATAACACTGTTATCGCCTGCCTTCCAAATGCCACACACGTGCATCTCGCTGGTGGGACTTAGAGTATACCTGGAACTCTCCTGGAAAGGCGGTTCCAGGCTTCCAGCCCTTGCCATACAGGGGAGAGTATAGAAGGGGGTATAGAGGGCCTCGTGTGTCAACAGACAATAGCACAGAGAGCCAAGAAAAATGGAGAGGAGGAAAGAGAAGCAGATGGAGATGGGGAGCTGGGGGAAGAAGGAAGATTCAGACAGACAGGGGCGCAGACAAATGAGGCATGGCAGGGAGCCGTATAGACAAAATAAGGTGGGAGAGACAGAGTATAAGACAGAAATCAGGAGACTGAAACAGAAGGAAGAAGACTGGTATCTATGGATGTTGGTGGGAGTGTTGGCAATAGAGCCCAGTCATTTGAAACCCATTGCCAGTAGAAATGTTGATTTGCCCAATACTGACCAGGGTTGTGGCTCTGACTCAAACTTTCCTGTGCGTAAAAATCAACTGGAATAACTTTTTTAAAAAGCTTTGGAAATTCTGACCCAGAAAGTCTGGGGTTAGGCCTGCGAATCTGCATTGTTTCAAGCTCCCCAAGTAATGTTTGTGGTCCTTGGATGACATTTCAGGAATCGCTGCTTTTGCAATTTCACTGAACAGTGGAAATGCTCTGGGCTGCATCAACCTGGGAGAAATGCCTAATGAATTCAAGCTTGAGGCCTGCTCTGGTCAGAGACTGCCCACCTGCCCCCCACTGCTGCCTGGGGCAGCTCCAAGATTCCTCCCTACCACCTTCTAGCCCACTCTTCCCCTCCCTTGAAGCTTCCAGGGAACTGATAGCCTAGTTGATTTTTACCTTTGAGCAAACTAATTAAGCAATAATCCTAGAAGAATCTATCACTCTGACAAGGTTTTTGATTAACCATCCCCCAGCCTAGTCCAAAGTGCTTAATATCCCAGCAGAATGGTCAATAATGAGTGCAACAGCAGTACTGGGCTGCTGCAAACCAGATGATGGCTGTATCTGAGAAGACAGATGCAGAATGGGGAACTGGGCCCGACTTTGCAGCCTGGTAGACGAGAGTGGAGAGGACAGTGGGTTGGCTTGAGGCTCCACAGGCTGGGACATCTCTAATAAGGTTCCAGACCGTTCTTTCTGAGACCATCACATTCCCTGAGAGGGTTTCTAAGGTTATGAACAAATCTGGACCATGAGAGAAGGGTCATGTGGAAGGGGTTTGGACACGAGACATAATTCTCCAACTTTACGTCTGTGTCAACTATATAGTTGCTGGAGTGGGAGGAGAGATAGGCAAGACAATAAAATGACTCACTTTGAGAGATTAATTTCAAGTCCAGACTGGTATATCTTTCTCTTTTCCACACTTAGGCTGTTATTTTAAACACTCCCAGTTCTCTTAAAAGATTTACTTTCCTCAGTGCTAGGAAAAAAGAGTCCCTTTGACCAGGCAGGATGTAATAAAACACTGCCATCTGGTGGTCATAGTTGTTGCAGCTTTGAAGCATCCACCTTCCAGAGGTTCCTTCCCGCTCAAGTATCCAGTGTGGGCACCAGAGGAAGGAGCCTCCCACCAGCCCGGATGAAGCATGTATCATCTGAGCTGCCATTTCTGTGAATTGCTCTATTACCTTCTGACTCCATCTTTGCCTGAATTCTGGTCTCATTTCTGATATTGTGCATAAAGAGTGGATGATGTTGGCAAATACCAAGGGGAAGGAAACTGACCCCCAGCTATGCCACCCTGATTTGGTCATTGACATGACGTGTCAAGTTATATCTTGAAGAGTTGCCAATTCTGTTCAGCCACAAAGAAAAGAAAATACCGTATTTCCCCATGTATAAGACGCACCCTTTTTCGAAAAATTTGGGGTCTAAAAACTGGGTGCGTCTTATACAGTGGTTGTAGATTTTTTCACTTGCGTTTCCCGCTTTTTTCGTGCTTGTTTTTGGTGCTCATACAACCACTGTATAAGACGCACCCAGTTTTTAGACCCCAAATTTTTTGAAAAAGGGTGCGTCTTATACATGGGGAAATACAGTAGCATATAGTCTGTGCTCAGTCAGTGTTCAGAGAATGAATGACTGAACATGTGCAGGGTAAAGACAGGGGTCATGGTGGAGTACTGGGCCCGGACTCTAGAGTCTCGGGTTCAAGTCCCAGCTCTGCCTCCTTCCAGCTCTGTGTACTTTGGGAAATGGCCTTCTCTTTCTGGGCCTCCTTCTCTAAAATGAAGGGGCCTAACTTGAAGATCTCTAAGGCCCCTTCCACATCACAAACTTGGGGAGCCAGGTCCTAAGGATTCTAATCTGCAATCATGATTAAGGGGCAGCAATTTTCCAGGAAAGGAGCCCCTAGCGATGCAGCAACAGCATCTCTTACTGGGACCCGCTCTCTGGGGAACTAAATCGAACAGTGCTCTCTTCCTCCACTCAGCCTGGGAGCGTCTGCTGTTTTTATGTTTGTGACAATGGAAATCAAAAG